TAGGGGTATATTTTTATTTATAATTGGATAGACTGTTAATTAATTGTATAGAACAGCATGATTATATAACTTAGAGCCTTTGTATTTTTATAATTTATGTCCTTTGCATATATTAAGTAGTTAAAAGGTATTTCATTGTCTCTCCATAATTCTTTACTTTGTAAAAGTATTTGAAAATTCAATGAATTGACTAAGCAATAATATACCAAGTGCATTATAACTGGAAAATATAAATATACGCATTAACCACCACATATTTTTGCCACACACATTTTTCTTCTTCACAGACCTTGGCCCTGAGTTTGAAATATGCTTATTCTAAGTTTGAATAGTCTTCCAGGTTTATCAAAGGATTCATTCTTACTCATAATCATATAATTGTATTTGAGGGTAAATTGTTCTTATGATCATAGTTGGTTGATTGGTTGTTGGTTGTTTTGACACAGTTTTTTAAAAGCATATCAATGATCATGGTTTAAAATCTAAGATTTCACTTTTCATTTACCAGGGAAGCTATCAGATGTTATTTACCTCCAAATTCAGATTTGCAGGAATGGAATCGGGTTCTGAGGGAAAGGGAAAGTGATTATCTGAAACAATATAATTGACTTTTAGAGAATGAATCTCATTAAAGTATATACCCCTATGAATTCTTGTTACAAACAACAACAACAAAAAACATTAAGTTAAGCAGAAAAACAATTTAATGGAAGAATATTAGGTAGCTCACAGAATTGTTGGAAATGCTAGAGAATGAACTTTGAAAAACAGAAGCCAAGGGAAGCTAATTAGGACCAAAATCGTAGCCAAGTTGTGACCTCAAGAAGAATTGGAAGTTTGTTTATGTGTCTACTGGCAGTGGTGCTTCTGAAAACTGGATTCCAAACACTCCAGATACAAAGTCTGATGGGAATGTCCAACTAATGACCAAGATTAGTCTTGTGCCAGCACTCAGGCTGTCAGGCATCAAAGATGGCAAGTATGTCTGACCTTCTCCGCTTCCACAGTAGAAGATGGGACCATTTCTCTCACCAGATCCACCAAACATATGAAATGGGTTTGATGACTGAATATCAAATATAGAAACATCAGAGATCTACTGTAGTCCCATCTCTTTCCAACATCCACCTATACCACTTGTCCCATATTTACACATTTACATAATACTAACATAATACTCTTAGACCTCATCCACTTTCAAGTCCAGAATCTCCATGTGATGTCCATTCCTCCTCTAATTCTGTAATGATCTTGTCTCAGTAGTATGTAACCCACAGACAAAATTGTTACCTAACCACAACCATGCCTATATACAATAATAGTATAAGATAGGAAAGAAAAGGGAAATTATTAAATATATAAGCATATGTATGTACCATTGAGGAAGAAAATATAACTAGAGCAGGGCTTTGCCAACTTCCTTGCTGAGAATTACCTGAGTTACTTGTTAAAAATACAAATTCCAGAGCCCTATTAGAGATGAACTGAAACAATATCCAGGATAGGGTATGGGGAGCAGCACGCTTTCTCCCAAAGGTCTCTGATTTAAATTTTAAAAAAATTATGCTAAATACAGTCCTCAATTCTGCCACTGGCCATGAGGCTAGATGGTTATGACTTCTCACCACTGCCACTTATTACCTCTTTCCTTTGTGTTCAACCAGTATCTCAGTGGATGAGATTTCTTTACCTAGTGCATGATCCAAGGATCTGAGGCTTGAGTGGTCTTGCCTATATATGGTTGCAGATGTTTGCTTAATTTTTATAATTCAGCATGCTATTGTGAGGAGGTAGGTATTCCAAGAGATAAGATTTCCCAAGCTCTAATCAGACTCCTCTCCCTATTCCCTTTTTCTTCCTTGGTCATTAGGGCCATCACCCCAACTAGTGCCATAACCACTTTTTCTAACTCCTTACCTAGAGGAATGAGCTAAAATGACCAGGTTACAATCCCAACCTCCAATGCAGAGAAAACATTGTATCCCTTTATACCCCACTGTGGGTACAAAAATTGGTACACCAACAGCATCTGGAATTATGGAGATGGATGGCAAGAGCAGTGAGGGTCTTAAGATTTTATCCTACTTGTAAGTTTGCTTGCTACAGTTAAATGGATGCTGACAGGAAACTCCCAGGTACAAAAGACTATTACAGCAAAATAGCCAGAGCATCAGCATATTTGCACTCATTCCTGGGACCCCAATTTCCACAGCGATGCAGAGTGCCAGATGACACCTGGACACACAATGGGTTGCATCACAGGAGAAAATTCCAGGGCCGATGGCCAAGCATTTTTTGAGCAAGCAGCAAACAAGCCAGTCTCTTTTCCCCAAGGGGAACAGCAGTTAAATGGTCGTAATGCTGTATTTAAATGCCTATATGACTAGCTACAGAAATTGCTGAGTTTCAGGAGATGGATAAGCCTTGCCATTGGCATATTCAGCAATGATATGCAGGGATGCCCAGGACCCATGGCAGATTGTCTCTCCCCAAAATGGAAAGCAAAATATATGGACAGTGTATCATGTTACACAATATTAGTCCTTCTACTACTCCTTGGATCCTGTTATTCTGTCTATAGAAGAGATATCACTGAAAATACTGTTAAGTCATTGGGAGCAAATGCCAAGTCCTTTAGGACAGCATCCCAAAGTGTATTTTCTCACCTTGTTCCAAAAGTAAATGTTCAGTAGGGCTGTCCATTATTCTATAAGACCAGTTGCTTCTGGACTGATGGGATATATGATAAGGCTTGTTAATCCCACAAGCATCAGTACTCTACATTTTTCACAGGAAAGTGAGTTTTTTGGTAAGAAGCAATGTATGGGATGCTATATAAGGTGTATGTAGTATAAGGTATTCAGTAAGTCCACAGAAAGAAGGTATAAAAGAAGCATAAGTCAGGGAAACCAATCCAACAAGTTGCTACTTCCTTCATTATAGTAGGATTCCATTGTAATCAAACCTGCCACCCAGGCTATGTAGTCCTATATCAGGGGGACAGGTTGTTCACTGCAAGGAGTGGTGCTAGCCAATCACTCTTGGCAGGGAAAAAGACTTAAAAATCTGTGCATCTCTATGCCACCATGGCTACCTGATAAGTGGGCCCAGCTGTGGTGGGGGAATGAGGCTGACTGATGTCTGTGGAGTGTGTCACTATGGTAGGCAGCCTCTAAAATGATCTTCAGTGATCCCCATCTGCTGGTATTCACCCTTTGTGTCATCCCCTCCCTTTTGAGAGGGTGCTGGATATACTGACTCACTTCTAATAGAATACATCAAAAGAAAGAATACATCACTTCTAATGATAGAATACATCAAAACTTGAAATGAAATTACAAAAATACTGTGGCTTCCACTTTAGCAGTCTCATTCTCTCATTCATTCTGTGGAAAACCAGCTGTCATATTTGAGATGACCTTTGAAGAAGCCCACATAGCAAGAACTGAAAGAGGCCTCCAGTCCAAAAGCCCACACAAAGCATTAAAACCTGCCAATAATGGTACTAGTAAGCTTGGAAGCAGATCCTCCCCTAGTTGTGCCTGCATATGGACTGGAACCTCAGCTAAGAGCTTGACAGCAACCTCCCTTAAGACCTAGAGCCACAGGCACACTGGCTCCAGCATTTCTGACCCACAAAAACTGAGAATAAGTGTTTATTGTTTTAAGGCAAAATTTTGGTTTAATATGTTATGGAGCAATAGATAACACAGTAATCTTATTCTGATTAAGAGCCCTTCTGAAATGGGAGCGGGTTTTTTGGGGGGGGGTGTGGGGAGCAATGAGATCCAAATATTCTTATGTTTTGGGGCAATTTTTAGAGGTCCTATTCCAAAGAACTATTCCAAAACCTTTATAGTCCCAGTCCCTGACCAAGACTTGACTAAACCAGTGCCCATGAAATTATGTAGATCTTTATCTCATGCCACATACCCCTCCCTACAAAGAGTACAGGATAAAGTTCTAGCCTCTGAGAGGAACTCTCTCTGCTGTTCCTTGAGCGTCTCTGTTAAATGGGGCTCTAAATGCCAAGGCAGTCCACTGATAGCTGAGTTAGTATATTGAGCAAAGCCATCCATAATCCGGCTTTGAATTTTTTTCCTCAGTCAACTGGTCACAAGGAACTCATCATTAAACTGTAGATACGAACTAAGGGTCAAAAGTATTTGTGGGAGCTAACTGCTAATGAAAACTGCTTGGGTTTTGGTTCTGGCCCTGTTTTGTATATAATACTTTTAGTAAAAGGACTCCTTATCTAGGAGGATCAGATAACTCCCAGTTCATGATGAGAAACTAGATTGCATAAGCCACCTAATGTCACCTTGTCAGACATTACCAGCGCCGAATAGCCAAGAACTTTTCTGAAAAATAAAAAAAATAAAAATCTAGGGACCTGCACTGTGATTGTAAGGATTTCCACAAGTTACATAAAGCCTCCTGATCTGCCACATATGCTCCAAACGTCATTGGAACTGTTGGAATTTATGGGCCAACTGGCAGAGCTTCCACTGCAACCTGAACCAGATGGCAAGCCTGTCTTGCTCTGCTCTTCACTCAAAACTGTCATCTTTCAGGTCATCTGGTCAATGAGTCAGAACTGACAAATTAGGAGTTCACTGAACAACCAGATATTTAAAAAATAAAAGAGAAGTGAAAAAGGAAAGAAGACTATTATTACACAGGCGAAAGAGTAAAAGGTGTTTCGCCTTTGTGTGCTATAAAAGAGATCTTTCAAGAGACCTCTGCCTCAGATTAAGAGGCATACACGGAATTATTCCCTCATCCAACCTCAGCCGTGATTTGGGATTTTAATCAACACGCGGGTCAGGGTAGTTTGAGTGGTTCTTCGCGAGAAAGCTGACGCCCTCCACGCGCCTTCCTCTCCAGAGAGCCTGGGAAAGGAGAAAGGATTCCGAGGAAGAGCTCCGGAAGCCCCGCCCCGCCCGGCCACGCGCAGGCCCCGCCCCTCCAGACGCAGGCCCCACCTCACGAGAGCTCCGCCCCGCCTGTGGGTTGGGCCCCGGTCGGTGCAGCTGACTCCCCCCTTTCTCCCTGTTGGGCCCACGAGGACGCTGTGGGATTTGGCACCATGTCTGTGTCAAGGCTGGCTCAGTTGCTTGGCTGCGTCCCGGCCACCGCGTGGAGAGCGGCAAGTAAGGCGCCCGGCCCCGGGGCCGAGGTCGCGGGCGGGGTCGCGAGGGCCCGGCGCCGCGAGAAAGTCCTCCCTCGGGGGAAGGCGCGTGTGTCCCGGGCGTCTAAAGGCGCCGGGTGCTGCAGAGCTTCTCTTTTTTGGCTTGGCCACCCACGTCTTGGTCCTGGACAGGTCCCTTCACCATCCCGGATCTCCGGGGTCGGACTAGGGCTAGAAGATCACCCAAGCACTTCCAGCCCGGGCACCTGCTTCCTTCCGGTCACTGGTTAGGAAGGGCAGCGAACGTTCGGGGTTGTTTACTTGGGAGCTCTCAGGGCGCACTACTCTTTGGTGCTCGTGGAAGAAAAAATCCGTGTATGCCTCTTACAGCAAAAAGGATTTGTGGCAGTGTACAGTATTAAAAAATTGGAGAAGTGCAGAGGTGGGTCAAAGTAGCAAATTAGTATAATAAAAATTAGATGAAGTCAAGAATTGTTAATACAAAGAAAGTATGCATGCTTTGAGTAAAAACCAGCGTTTTTTAACCCATTTTTGTTGGCAGATTTTCTCAGTATTTTAGACTTACCCATAAAGTATGCTAAGCATAGTTTTAATTGAGGACATCCCGGAGAAAATGTGTAAGTTGAAAACAGAATTACTGCCCTTCATAGTAATGGGCCCCAGATTTCTATGCAGTTTGTTTTCTGTAATCATTTCTCCCCAAACATATTACTTGTTAATTGTAAACATTTTAAATGGTCCAGGAGTGAATAATTAAGTGAAGGTCTCACTTTATCCCAACTCCAAAGTAATAACTGTACATTTTGTTGTGTGTTCATTCACCATCCCTTTCTCACTTGTGTTAACAACTTACGAAGTATTTGATACCAAAAATGTATGATACACGTGTAAGTTATGAAGCAAATCTTCCTTTTATGAACTCATTTTCCAGTTTAAGAAATAGAATACTTCTGTTACCAAGCAGTTACCGGGTGCTTCTTCCTGATGCAGTTGTAACTTTACATGGTTTGGGTCTTCATAGAAATGGCTTCTTACCGTTTGTTTTTATTTTACTGGCCTTTTTCAACTGGCACTGTATTTTGAGATTCATCTATATTGATGTGTGAGGTTGTAGTTAATCATTCAGTTGTGAGAATATATGGTACAGTTTTTCCATTCTTCCCAGTGGACATTTGGGTAATTCTGGAAACACCAGGATTGGCTGCTGCTTCACATTCTTGTTATGGGTGCTGTAATGCAAGGAGTGGAATTCCTGGAACATATGGTATAGGCCTTTCCAATTTTATAATACGATGCCAAGCTGTTATGAAGGCATTTCCATTCCTCCCAGCAATTACATTCCTACCAGCAGAAACATCAGTTCTTGTTGCTTCACATACTTGTCAACATTGCTAATCATCAGAAAATTTCATTTTTGTCTGAATAAGGTGTTGAAATGGTATGTCATTATGATTTTGCTTCTGGATTTTATATCCACTATCCTAGCTAAATTACTTTCCTGTGTTAACTTCTCTAATTAGAAAAGTTAAACCTCTTTTCAAATATTTATTAGCTTTTTTTGGTGAAATCTCTTCATTTTATTAATGGATTGTTTGTCTTATATTCTTCACATATATTTCAATACTAAGCCTTTTTTAGTTATGTAAGTGGCAAATAGCCCAGTTTGGGGGGTGTTTTTGTCACTCCATGGTGGGTTTTTTTTTTTTTTTTAATACTATATAACAGCAGCAGAATAAAATAACGGATCTGCGTATACAATCACACAGCTTCGAAAGAAGCTATTTTTTAAAGGTGTCTTTTGATGAACACATAATCGTAATTGTCATCATGTCTTGATTCTTTTGTTTATTGTCAGTGCTTTGTGATCTTGTCTCAGGAGGCCTTTCCTACCCTATTCTCCTGTACTTTCTTCACAAAGGTCTATAGTTTTGCTTTTTATATTTAAGCCTTTATTCTACCAGGATTGATTTTTGTGTATGATGTGAGGCAGGAAACCAATTTCATTTATTTTCCACATCAGTAATCTGTTGTCCCAGATCCATATATTGGGCCTTTCCTTCACTGATAACAATGCCAGCTTGTCTTCAGTCAAGTTCACATAAGCATATAGGCATGGGTTTATTTCTTGGCTCCCTTTTCAGTTCCATTGATCTATTTGTCTATTCCTGTGCTGATATCACCTGTCTTAATAACCATACCTTTGTAATAAATTTTTTTTTTCTTTAAGATTTCATTTGTCAGAGAGCAGGCATAAGCAGGGAGAGCGGCAGGCAGAGGGAGAAGCAGGCTCCCCCCTGAGCTTCCCGCTGAGCAAGGAGCCTGATGTGGACTCCATCCCAGGGTCCTGGGATTGTGACCTGAGCCGAAGGCAGATGCTTAACCAACGGAGCCACCCAGGAGTCCCACCTTTGTAATAAATCTTGATATCTAATAGGTTAAATCCTCCCATTTTGTTTTTCAGAAGTGCCTTGGCTATTCTTACATATCTGCTTTCCATATCAAATTCTTAAAAGAAAAAAGTTCCTTTTGGGATTTGATTAACACTGCTTGCTATTTTTTTAAATTGTCATTTTGTGATTGCTGCTTATGCATAGAAACATAGTTTACTTATTTATTGCTTTTGTATCCTATAACCTAGCTAAACTAGTTTATTAGTTTAAATAATTTATTATAGCTAGGTGGGGAGGGTATTTTGGTAGGTAGACGGTCATCTTAACGGCAAGTAATGAAAATCTAGTTTCTCACTTTCTAATATTTATATCTTTTTCTTTTCTCTTGTTTTTCTGTCTTGCTTAGATTTCCAGTAACATGTTGTCTAGAAGTGATGATACCTTGTTTGTAATTTTAAAGGGAATGCATTCGTATTCAAGTGTCACAGCTGTGGATGTGCTTTATCAAGTTAACAGAGTCCTATGCTATGTCTAGAAGGGTTTTTATTGTTGTTTATGTATTTGTCTGTTTTTTAAGATTGAATCTTGAAATTTACTGAATTCATTTTTCTTCGTCTTCTCAGAGTGATTATATCATTTTTCTCCTTTAAATCTGGTGAGTTGGTGAATTGTAGATTTTTCTAATGCTAAATCACTCTAGCATTCCTAGAAAATACTCAAATTCATCATGATGACTATATTTTTAATGTGATGTTGGATTTGGTATGCTAATATTTTGTGTAGAAATTGGCCTGTAGGGGCGCCTGGGTGGCTCAGTTGGTTAAGCGTCTATTTTCGGCTCAGGTCATGATCTCAGGGTCCTGGGATCCAGCCCCTCATCCGGCTCCCTGCTCTGAGGGGAGCCTGCTTCTCCCTCTCCCACTCCCCCTGCTTGTGTTCCCTCTCTCACTGTGTCTCTGTCAAATAAATAAATAAAATCTTTAAAAAACAAAAAAGAAATTGGCCTATAATTATCCTCTTTTGCAGTTTCCTTTTCTGGTTGAAGCTTAAGTTATTCTAGCCTTGTACAGTGAATTTAAGACTCTTACCACCCTTTTCTCTTCTTTGTTATATTTTGTTTAACGAAATTACTCATTCTTTGAGTATTTGGTATAACTCAAGTATAAAACTGTCTACTCTTTGAGGGAAGATTTTAAATTACTGGTTTAATTTCTTTAGCGGTTATTGCATTGTTCATCAGGTTTTCTCTTCAGTCAGCTTTGATAAGTTAAATTTTTCTAGAAAATTGTTAATATTACATGCTTTCAATATATAGACATAAAGTTCCCTTTTTTAAAAAATGTCTGCTCTCATTTATAATTATGTAGTCTCTTCATGTTATTTATTTTGCCTTCTCTTGTTTTTTTCCTTATTAGCCTAATCAAAGACTTCACTTTTAAGGGAACCAACTCTTGCTTTTGTTGATTATCTCACTCGTATGTCTTTTATTTATGTTATCATTTTCTTCTCTATGGTTATTTTCTTTCCATTTTCTGTGTGTGTCTCTCTCTTTAAAACAAAACTAAAAACATGGAAACGTGCATCTCACATACCATAGACTGGGTGGCTTAAACACCAAACATTTATTCCTCACAGTTCCGGAGGCTGGGAAGTCTGAGATCAGGGGGCCAGGACTTCTGGTCTCTGCTGAGAGCCTGCTTCCTGGTTTGCAGATGGCTGCCCTCTGTCTCCTCAGATGGCAGAGAGCAGAAAGCCACAGCAGGCTTTCCTATCTCTTCTTAAAAGGGTACTAATCCCCTTCATGAGGGCTCCACCCTATTACTTCAAAGAAGCCCCACCTCCTAATATCACAACATGATGTCTTAGAATTTCAACATATAAATGGGGGTGGTGAAGGGGACACAAATCTTCAGTTCCTAACACTGGTCTTTTTTTTTTTTTTAAAGAAACATGGTAATTAGTGGAGCTTATACGAACAGCATGTGGCTAGATTTTGTGTTTTGTTTTGTTTTGTTAAGATTTATTTATTTATTTGACAGAGTGAGACACAGCAAGAGAGGGAACACAAGCAGGGGGAGTGGGAGAGGGAGAAGCAGGCTTCCTGCCGAGCAAGGAGCCCGATGTGGGACTCGATGTGGGGCTTGATCCCAGGACCCTGGGACCATGACCTGAGCCAATGGCAGACGCTTAACGACTGAGCCACCCAGGCGCCCCTGGATTTTGTTTGTTTTGTTCTGTTTTTTGGAGTCTGACAGTCTATACCCATTTAACTGGAGAGTTCAGTCCATTTACAACCATAATTATTGACGTAGTTGGCTTTATTTCTACCATCTTTTTACACCTTCTGTTTGTCATACGTGGTTTGAATTAAATATTTTCTTCTTCCATTTTTTTTTTCCTCTGCGGTTTGGAAGATATATGTTATCTTTTATTGGTTACCCTTGAAATCTAAATGCATACTTAAGGAAATCTAAAGTTAACACCTTCTCCTAAACAGTGTAAAGTGTAAAAATGCTTTGAATTCACTCATCCTCTACCTCTGTTGTTCAGCCTTTTAGGTGTGTATATGTGTGTATTCTTGTGTATATGTTGGGATAGGATTGTGGTTTTG